TCCGAAAGTACGGTGTCTAAGCGAGATGAACGGGTCTGACACACACACCGAAGTTCGTTTTTGAATGGAAGAATCTTATGAAGTCGACGGGCTTAACCTACTTTTAAATCGTCGTATTGATTCTCGCAGCTATTTGCGCGTGAAGTAACGAGTAAGAAGTTCACGACTTTTTTCCTCGACAACTACGTTTTTCTTTTTTTGCCCGAGCCACATCTTAAACGCAGCAATTTGTCATCCTGATGCAGATGAACTGACAACGTCTCTGTTGGATAGGGCAGGTGTGTTGCTGAACGTCACTGTCGACCTACGAGGTGGGCGCCGTCTGTCCGCCGGTTCGGTTGTTTCAGCGTCCGCCCGCCTGTTAACGTATTAGCAAAGCCTCGTCTTTCTGTAACTCATTCTTTGGAATTAGCTTTGCAAGGGATAAATGATTTAAATTATCTCAGCAATATTTTGCTCTGAATTTTCTGACCCATCACCTACAGTAGTGCCCTTCCGGGTACTTAAAACTTGAGGTTCGGAGAAGCTCAGCGGAACTTATCTCCTTTCATCAAATCTAGAAAGTTATAGTGGAGTCATACCGCAGAGATGTCTGTGCCCCTTTTTTCAAATCGATTTTGCGCTGCTTTGTGCAAAAAGGTAGCCATGTTTTCGCGTTCGGAGGCTGAAAATTCTAAGTGCGGGAGCGATTGATTCTTTTCCCCTAGATGTGAATACTTCTGCACCCCTCTATCATCATGTAGTCGACGTTGTATAGCAATATCGACAGCGGTCCGAGCATATTGAACAAGGGGTGCAGTACGAATGACTGTGCCAGAGCACGTTGTACGTTGGGGATCCCCAGCGAGGAGGGTCGTATTCAGTCGCTGGAGGGATGGAAGGGATCCTGTTTGCTTTCGAGATAAATATTCTCGGTTGTTGACTCTTCTCGGTTTTTCCCGTTTCGTGTAGGCTACATGCTCTTCCCTTTCTCCCTCCTCCTCTCTGCTCGACGTCTCGACGTTTTTGAAAAAAAGAGAATTTCTGGAAAACTTTGAAAAATAGGTGGGAAGTTCAAGCGGTAGTGGGGGATATAGGAAGATTGAGGAGTGGGAGGGAGGGTGTACCAGAGGAGGAAATTTTGATATCCCCTACAAAATTCTTCCCCAAGGCCAGTCTTGCACTGGTCATACGGTCATTCGTCACGAGCGTAAAGAACAAAACTAACTCATTAGCATCTGTGGCCAACGTCGAACACATTACGACGCTCTTCACTACCGCCATTCTCCTTGAAGCACGCTGCTTAGCTATTGTACGGCTATTCATGGTATATGCACTTTCCTGTGTATTTTTTCCTTCCTCATTTTCGTTCCCTTATTCTTTTCATAGCTTTTGCCGTTTTCCCTTTTTCTCCCTTTTTGTGGTGTTTTGCTCAATACGTTTTCTGCCGTAACGGTGTGAAGGAGCTCTTGAACACACACGAAGAGGGTTTCCCGAATAAGAAATTATGTACGCTTGGCTGCGAGTTTAAGCCTTCTCTGAGCCGCAGCTAGACTGGGGCATTTTTCTGTGTGGCTGCTGCGAGTGCCCGATCCATTGCAGCATATTAGGAATGCGAGCAAAAGCGCCGAAGATTGGCCTCTTGCTAACCTACATGCCTCGTTTTTAGCGAATTCGCTGAAGATTGTCGCAATTCAGTTGTCGAGCCCTGTTGTGGCAGTTAGGGGTTTGGACCGAACGAGAATCTGAGTCGACGAGCCGCAGCAGCAGCCGAACCCACACTCGAGCTCTCGGCGGTGATTTCCTACGCTCGCTCTCTGACCGTTGTTGTGTCAAGGGGAGGAGCTTCTCTTGCCTCTCTGTGCCCTGCCCACTTGCCCGCCTCGCCGTCGTTAGTTATGCAGGCCGCACCTCTTCGTTTTGCCCCTTCTGGAACTAACACATAGTATATTATATACGGATATGTAACATATACGCACATGTGTATAGTATGTGTATGTACGCACACGTTGTACGCACACGTGTTCATGTACACATAAATGCATAAATACTGTTTAGACACAACCCGGTCTGAGCCCATTTTTGAAGAGCCACAGCTACCTTTTATGGACGGTAACTTGATGGGAAAGCGTTAGAGGCCCGGATTGAGGTGACCTATATACCTCATAGTGTGTGTTGAGCGCTAACCGGTGACGCTGCGGATTTTCGGCTCGCATCCACAGACCACCCGTCCTCCATTTTCGCGATTACTGCAGCAATATTGGTATGTGTTATTGAAATTTTGCGGTTATTTCCTTGTTTTTTCTAGGTGTGCTCTTGTCCGCGCTTCGTTCGGCCAACTGAGTTCACGTTCCAGTGAAATTCTAGTGTAACGGCGCTATGTTGACAGCTTTTTGAAGACGTTCTGGGCCGTTTAGGTGCGCGATTGCAACTGCTGCGTTCTCTTTATCTACTGTGTTCTTGTTTACCAACATCTTGTGTTTTTCGTTGTTCAGTTTCTATTCCATTTTCCTTTATTGCTCAGCCTGATGGCGGTCTAGTAAATGGTTTATTTTCATTTTTTATTCTGGAAAGTCTCGGTTCTCCAAGTGAAACCTCTTAATGAAGCGTGAACATTTTCAGGCAGATGATGTGGACGCTGCGTACAGAGATCCTCCGGTACTGTGATCAAGTGTTGGAAGGAGTACCGACTCAGGATATGCTGGTTAGTCCCTTTATTCATTCTTCTAAGCTTGAAACAGAAGCTATTTTGTGGCCAAATGAATCTCTATGAATCACGATGAGGCGTACACGGTGCAGTGGCAAATGGCCCGTTTGCTGCTCACGCGGTCCAGGGTTGAGCTCGGATCGGCCCTCGCCCAGGTCAACCATGCTTTTTAGAATGGTAAATTTGTACCGGATTCGCCTGGGTTAAAAACACTGTTTTGTACGTTGGCTGACCACCGCTAATAGGTTATGTTGCATTCAAAGAGCCACTAAGATTTTGGATGGAAGTAGCACGCCTGGAGCATACCCAAAGGGATACCAACGGTGTAAGCCTCATTCGTGGGGGGGGAGGGCATCTTGCAATTCCGCTGCTCCATCACGCCGCCTGGTTTTCAAGTCTCACTCTGGTGGAACTCCTGTGAAGCTGCAGCAGGCTCCTTGTGCCACTGTGATAAATCCTTCCAACTGTTGCAGGCCCATGAAATTGCTCTCTAGATGGGTCGACACACCGATGGGAAGTAGAAAAAGTGCAAATGCCCCCCTTCCCCCGTCGCCCAACTGTCCCCCATTCTTCCAGTTTTGATGGTCGAACAGGGACCTCTCCAAAACAGTTTTCTGTCGTCCATCGTGGGGTGGGGATGAGAGCTTTGAGTCTGGTTACCTAGTCAGTAAACTTGACTGAGCTCTTCATTTTTTCTCTGACCATAGAATGTATGGCATAAAACAATTTATTCGTGGTATGCTGCCGATCTTGTTATGAAGTATTGCTGTTTTGTTAGCGTGGCACCAGCGGCGAGCGTGCTTTATGTGAAAGCCCCAGTGGCCAGCTGGATACTTGCATGATTTCGACAGGCCAGATCTGCGGAATGAAATGAAATGGGCTTTCGCCGATCACATATGCGTCACGTAGCTGTTGCTATTACTTTGGGGGTGAATATGAATGGCTTATTGATAATCATCAGTCTTCCCTATATCATAAAGAAATCCAATGGCCAGAAATGCACGTATGTAAAACATTTGTTCTAGTGCAGATTTGATACGTTCATAACTGCCGACTTTTTTCTTTCCTGTTACGACGTGCGGTCGTGACAGGTGGTCATGGCCTCATCCCGTCCCCAAATAGCCCTCACCAGTTGATCTGTTTGTTATGCGTTTGAGTTCAATGAAAACGAGTCTTATCTCTATTGTCGATCTCAGAAATAACGGGCACGAAATGGCAAAACAACGAAAAAGAGGGTTTTTCTGGCTTTATTGCATGTGTTCAGACGCGGGCTTCATGTGCCTAGTGGCCTCGTTCGCTATCCCTCATAATCCAGCCGGAGATCTTTAGTTTTCCTCGCTATAAAATTATGTGACGCAAGCGGCAAAGTGTAGTCTTGATGACTGTGCACGTCTTTGGACAATTATTTGCAAAACCATATCTGAAACTGGTTTTGTGGTCAATTGCAATTTAAATTTTATGTCTTCGGTGAAGGAAATACGGTGTAAAAAATGATTTACGTGTTGTTGTACTACTTTACGGTGGAACCACGATGTTTTATGTGTATTTATGCGCTATGTTGAATTCACAATGTGGAATGTGATAAATGATTCTACTCAACAAAAAGTGCTTCGCACTTTTCTTATATCAATGCCATTTGACTTAATCGTTCCATAACATCAAGCGTCAAGCGATAATCGTAGCGCTCAAGTCTGGTGAGTCAAAGCTGTGGGTAGACATAGCGATCCAAAGGATAAAAAGGATAAATTAATAGCCGTTGTTCAATTCCTTGGGGCAGTTCGGCGATCGGGGGGGGGGGCATTTTGCACTTCTGCTGCTCCCCAACTCCTCGATGTGTCGACCCATCTAGGGCGCCTTGTCTTGAGTTGACAGGTTTTACCATGGTGGCTCGACGAGCTTGCTCCAGCTTCACAAGAGTTCACAAGTTTCATCACAGTGAGACTTGTGAACCGGAACTAGTGAAGCAGCGAAAGTGCAAAATGCCTCACCCCGTCGCCAACTGCGCCCAATCCCCCACTCATTCTAATTCCGTTCCGAATTGGTGGTCCATAGTATGCGATGTGACCTATACAAAGGCTTGCGGGGCCAGCCGATGTACAAGTCAATGTTTCTATCCTCCGAGACGAATCTGGTACTAACTCACCGTCTCCGAGAGTAGAAGGCTTGGTTGACCTAGGCGGGAGCCGATCCCGGGTTTGACAACCGGTATTTTGCAAAGCCATTAGAGCTATTTATACCTTCAAACTTGAAAAATCAAAGTGTGAAACACTCTTTAGGTACTTTCAGCTGTTCTCAAAAAGCCTATTTCTAGGTGATGATGGAAATGGAGCCCACTGATATCATGGAATTGGATCTGGCCCATCCAAATCAACACGAAGTACGGCTTTTTCTTCCTCATCGCATCGTATTTGTAAGTGGAATGTCGGGTGCTCCCTAATCACGTTGCTATAGGTAACACTGCAACAACTGGCGAACCTAAAACTGGCTGCAAAGCTGCTGCACGATGAAAACGAAGCTGATTTGGACTTGGTCATCAAGCAGGTCATCACTGGGGGACAGGTGATTTCGCTTGTAATTCTAAGAAAATCGCTGCACTTTCCGTTAATGTGCTCTTTGAAGAACAACTGCGCTGAATTGAAAGGAGCTCATTTTTCGAAAACATCGCCAAATTGCTATAGTATTGCGCAGGGGTAGCGATCGTCGGGATCAATTCTGGAATCGTCTGGATCGGCCTTTCTTGTGCTGTCGTAAGAGCGTTAAGTGGTCTTGCTGTGAAGAGAAATTACGGTACGGACAGTGGGGCGCTGATCGGCGATGTGACGCGTTGATTGGCGTGAGATAGGTGTCAATTAGCGGCATATCTACTCATTCAAGCATGAATACAGTTGAACTATGAAGATTTGAGTTCTGAAAGGACTGCGAACTTGATTGCTGTTTGGTCATGTTCCCATTTGCTTTTCGGTTTATCTCCGATTTGTATATTTTTTTCACATGGTCGTTCATTGTCCCTGTCAATATTGGAAATTTTCGCTTGAAAAAATCACATTACAGGTGGTTAAGCGGTCGGTCATAACCAGGCGGTCTTTTTTTGTCCCTCGTAGCTGATCTGCTCCTTCGCTTCGCCGATCCACTTCCCACCACTTATTTCACGAATTTCCGTTCTCCGTCGTTGACTCGCCCCAATTCACGTTTGTCCCCAACATCATAGTAGACATGCATGGCGTAATTGCCTTTGTGTACTGCAAAACCACAGCCCCGGGATGGTCATCAACGAGTCGTAATCGGGCGATGAGTACGGTAGTGATATGTATTCAGGCTGAGCAGGTTTCCCACGCGTCGGCGACGAAAGTTCGTTGCCGATAATTGATTATCATTTCTGACGAGAATACGGTAACTGATATGGCGTGCTTCTTCGAGTCCTGTCGGCCCGGTTGAGGAGAGGAGAAGGGGTACACTTGTCGTGTGCTGCTCACACTCGCACACAACACTTATTGATCTCGCGTAATTTTACATGCTCACGAATATGCAGCACGCGTGTAATCGTTTAGGGAGAACTGAGCAAGTCAGCTCGATAACTTACGCGGACGGATGAAATTGTGAAGCGGTTCCACTGGAATTCTATTTGCTACACCTCCTTGTGGCACATGAACAGTCCAGTCTTAATTGGCATGTCTGGGCCACCCACATCGCACATTTGTGCTGTTTTCCCTGAACACTGCATTGCTGCCATAGCAATGCTAGTCTTTGGTGGTTGTACGTTGTAGTGGCTAGGATTAGTTTACATAACTTCATCGATGACACAGGAGCCTGTTGCCTTCTTCGCCCTTGCCTCAGCGCAGGAACGGACCCACATTGGGTGAGTAAACACTCAATGGATGCACTATACGCTCTCAGCACTTCATGAATGTTTTAGCTTGTTTGGGAATTGACGACAAAAGGAGCTTCATTTCATTATGTAGTGAGTCCAAACTGAACAATACTGCCAAGAGGTCTGGTAGAGTTTTAAAAAAAGAGAACAAATGGGTGTTTCGTCCCATAGGTTCCCATCATGACGGAAGAACTGCATCGATAGACCCAGTTTGACTGCCAACCCTCACCCTTTGAAAGGTGGAAGCGAATTTGCTTGGTTCATACTAGCTTTATTTCTTACACATGTCCTTCCTAAGGCAAGACCACGATCTGTTACAATTATCTAACCTCTCAGCGGGAGAGGTAGAGTGGACTGCAGCGAACAATCATGTCTAACTTTCGCGTCAAAAAAATGAAAATTCGCTAAACTAAAAATATCTCAGCGACAAATGAACTGCAGGTGTAAGGTAGCTTGCGGTAAAGCATATGGTTGCTCAAGTGGACTCCGCCCTTCTGATAGATGTCTTTTCTGCTGTCTTGCTATTTGCACACCTCCTCTCGCTGCTCTCTCTGGATATCCTGATTATTCTTTTTGCTGTGGCTTGCCAGGATTGGGGCCTTTTGGAGCGTTCTCAGTGGTTTCCTCTCCTTTTTTCCTTCACGGCCAAGCCAAGCTTCTGTTTCTAACCCGAAAGTTTCAGTGGCTCATCGCGAATTCTGTCTTTGAGGTTTTGTGGCAGGCTTCATCTGAAAACTCATTCAAAAGACAGAACACAGGAGTGACCCGATATTCTTCGACCCGCCCCCCGATTGTTTGGTCTCCTTCCCTCGGGTTATTCCAAATTCGGAGCCTTCCTGGTGTGTTTGACGTGGAAGTGCTGTTGAGTTTCCTAGTGAGGTCACCTATAGGGATGTTTTCATAGTGTTTGCAATAGTGATATTTATAACCAGGTTTTTATCCTTTTCAAAGCAGAGATGTAAGTTAGTACTATTGTGATAAAGGCGAGGTGCTCGCAAAGAGGTTCAAAATGCAGTCATCCATCATTGTCATATCAACATAGCAAAAAGTCCTATTCATCGGAAGAGGTGTGTCGCCTTGCTCGAATTCAGTGAATTTACGACCTGCCTTTATTATTGAAGTTTTCAAAAATTACTATCTAAAACCCATCGTTCTGATAGACTTTTCAAACTTAAATCATCTAAATCCGGGTCGCTTAATAGTAACACGTGAGGAATCGTTTTTGTATTGGTGAAAGTCTGTCGTTTTTCGGTTGCAGTACCTTCGTTTCTGCGTCTTCTGCGCCGCGCGTCATCTGTTTCTTCCTCTTCTACCGCTCCACATTCGGAAGTCATTAAGCCAAGCTTTGAGTGCCCCCCCCCCCCGATTATCGCTAGTGCGACTCTGAAACCGGAGAGTGCTGTCTTGGAAGCGGTCTGAGTCCAAACGCAAATGAACTCAGCTTGGAAGAGCTGGCTGATTGTGATGTGATCACATTCGTTGTATCTTGCGAAGAAAGTGAGGAACCCTTCTGGCGCCGTCCAGGTCATAAGTGAAGTTGAAATGCAGAGGGATAAGGGACTGGGTGATAGATCCCTCACCATCTTTGGCTTGACGACCTTGATCGCAGTGTGCGCGCTCGTTTGGTCCTGTTTTTTGAAGAAAACAAATGTCTGCGCGGCTCTCCCTCATGCCCATATAGCATAGCCCATAATGTTTTCTTTGACTAGTTGTTCTGCGACGAAACCCATCATATGGAAGGGAATGCGTTCAAAGACCAACAACGCTGAAGTTGAAGTTGCACTGAAATCCTGTTATATTGCTCACGTTAACGCTGCACGGTTAATACACGGTGTCCAAAAGCTGCGTAAATGCTAAGTGATAAGAGACCATCATTAAAGGCATTGTGGATATATTCCTCTCGTTTTAGAGCAAGAAACGCCTGTGCACATTATGGCTTATAAAACTTCCTGTTAATGTATGTAGTACATAGTCATCAGGGCACGTTAATCGGGGATACCCCAGCGGGATACCCACAAGAGGAGTATTTGATGCGCTGAGAGAAGGGGTTTGCATTCGCTTCTGGGACAATTTTACGGTCGTTCATTTTCAAGTTTTCCCCGTTTCAAATGCCTTTACCCGCCTCCTGGCTCGACAACAATTATCGTGGAAAATCGGAATTTTGAGAACAAACTCGTGAAAAGTGGTAGAAAGTTAGGAAAATTTGGAAAGATGGTAGGTAACAGGGCCAGGGCTCATTTTTTTGTTGTTGGTGCACTAATAAATTAGGGAATTTCATGCATCAGAGGCTGAATATCCCTCGGTTCTACTTCGGATTTCTCTAATATTTGATTTCTGTTCTTGCGTTGTTTCAACGGTTTGTTGCTGTTCTTGCGTTGTTTCAACGGTTTGCTGCTGTCTTCCTGAAATTGTGATTTTGTGATTACAATCCATATCCCGGATTTGGGAGGGCGTGGCTGCGTGCTTCATTCGAACATTGCATAGGATATGTTATGTTCATGGGATCGTTCCATTTGGTCATGAGACAACCAACATCCTGCCTTGCACTTCATGAGACAACCAACATCCTGCCTTGCACTAAGCAAAGACGATCATATCACAATACTACCGAGCGGCAATATACCATTCATGGCCCAGCTGGCGCCATGTTCCAATGAAGTACGCTACCATTGCCGCCATGTTCCAGTGAAGTACCCGACCACGCCCTCTACATCCTCGTGATATGGAGTACCACTCTTGCCTTAGCATAGCACACTCTGGATGACTTCGCAAACTTGTAAGAGAGCATAGTGCAAAGCGCTGTCGTTGCGGAATAAATTGGCACTAGAGGTTATGAGAGGTTTGAAAGGCAGAAACCGAATGGCAGTCGTAACGACTGAACAGTACACGTTGAAGGCGGGGGTAAGTTGGAAGGACGGTCCGTCAATGGGCAAAGCAGACTAGCCATGGGGCAGGATCGGGGATTTCGATGGTGGAACATAAATGAATGCCATGGAATATGAATTGTTCGGTTCCTCTTCAGTCTTCTGTTTGTGGTAGGGGTGTAGTGTCAACTATCCCTCTTACTATGTACGTGGTCCTAGTGCCAAATGCCGGATCGGCTCCCGCTCAAGTCAACCGAGCCTTCTAGCCTCGAGGCCAGTTGAATGATACCGGGCCATAGCCATGGCCATAACCCATTCATGAGAACAGGGACCAACGGCGAAAGGGAGGTCTTGGGATATCTGAAAAGATTTCCACTAATACAACAGATAAAAAACGAAGTTTTGCGAATTCGGTAGATTTTTCCAAATCCCAAATTTGATGTGAGCTTGAAGTTTCATTCAAACTGAGTATTCTTCTTCTACTTTGGTGATTTTCATCACGTGGCGATCATCAAATTTTCCACTTGACTTGTTTTAATTGTACCGTACTAGTGACTGACGTACGGTGCTACTACTGCTCTCACTCGAGATGAATTTTTTTGCTGGCGTCAAGATACGTTGCGACATTGAGTTGGTTGCTGTGATTGGTCGTACTAATGTTACAAGGAAAGGCAAAGGGCATGGGAGGGATGGGGAGAAGGTTCCGAGGTGAGGAGGGGAGGGCGAAGCAAATTTCGCTGTCCATCTACCCATGCTCAGGCCACGAGGAGAGTGCTCCGTAGGCGCGCAAGAGGGATGTTGTGTGCATTCACGGGAGCGATGCCCTTCATTTCACGCGCCTTTTTTCTTGCTAGATATCTCATGTTGTCTGCACTTTTATGAGCAAAGATAGCGGTGCACATCGTTGTTGAAGAATCCCCAACAGGGGGGTCTTATTTGGGCTGGGAAACATTTATTTTGAT